ATAAGCTGCATTTGTAAAAAAGAAAAAAAAAATTAAGGATAAATTCGCTTGTAGTTTTAAAAAAAGAAGCAAGTAACAGCTCCAGAAAAATAAACAATTCATGAAGAAAATGAAACCATAGTATACTACTTGGCTGTGTGGTGAATAGTATTTACTTAGTTGTAACACAAACAATGAATATTGATTTAACAACCATTAAGACAGCTACTAATAAAAAAAAAAAAGCCAGAAGTAACAAGTGTTGCAAGGATGGGGAGAAATTGGAACTCCTACGCGCTATTGGTGGGACTGTAAAATGGTTTAACTGCTGTGGAAAACAGCATGGAGGATCCTCAAAAAATTAAAAATAGACTCACCATATGGTCCAGCAATCCTACTTCTGGATATATATCCAAAAGAATTGAAAATAGGGTCTCAAAGAGGTATTTGTAGACCCACGTTCATAACAGCACTATTCACAACAGCCAAAAGGTGGAAGCAACCCAAGTATCCATTGACAGATGAATAGATAAACAAAATGTGGTATACAAGCCTTAGAAAGGAAGGAAATCCTGTCACATGCTACAATATGGATGAACCTTGAAGACATTAAGCTAAGTGAAATAAGCCAGTCATAAAAAGAAAATTCCTCTATGATTCCACTTCTATGAGGTAACTAAAGTAGTTAAATTCATAAAAACAGAAGTAGAATGGTAGTTATGAGGGACTGCGTAAGGAAGAAAAGGGGAGTTGTTTATTGGGAATAGAGTTTCAGACTTGTAAGATGAAAAATTTCTGGAGCTATGTTTCACAACAGCGTGTATATACATAGCACTACTGAACTGTATATTTTAAAATTATTAAGATGGTAAATTTTATGTTTTTTTTAACCACAATTAAAAAAAAAGATTAATGTGGTCATGTCAAAAGGAACGAGCCAGCTTGAAGGAGCTCCCATTGGTCAAATTTGAGACAAACTGGGCATCAGAAAGAACAGTAATTAACTATAATTGATTATAACATATTGATTTTTAAAAATCCAGCCAGGGATGGTGGCTCATGCCTATAATGCCAGCACTTTGGGAGGCCAAGGCAGGAGGATTGCTTGAGCCCAGGAGTTCAAGACCAGCCTGGGCAATATAGCGAGACCTCCATCTCTATAAAAAAATAAAAAATAAAGAGTTAGTTGTTGGGGAACATGATATTCACATAGTACCAAAGGATCACCCCACAGATGATTTACCAACTACAAGGGGGAAAATGTACCTTACAATGGAAAAATATGGCAGTTAACACTTTAACAAACTTAGTATCACTATTAGGGGAACAACATGTCATTAGGTGTCATATATGCCTCCTAATCTGATATAGGATGAATATACAATAGCACCTATGAATTATTCCTGCCAAAAATGCTTAAGATGAATCGAATCCTGCCTCTAGACCCAACTTCCAGTTTACAGGAAATACAGGGAATGCAGGAACAAATTGGATGACACCACAGGAAACAATCAGACAAAATTCGGAATATGGGACAATCTACAAAATAAGTGACCTAAATTAAAAGAGATTAAGGAGACAATAACTAAACATGTGAATCTTGATTAGATGCTATGTGAACAAAGTTACAAAGACATGTTTGGGATAACTGCAGAAACTGGAACATTGACTAGGTATTAGATGATTTTTTAAAATTATGATTAAATATAAACTGCCAATAAACATAAAAATGTTTAACCCCACTAATTATTAAAACAACACATGTTAAAATTTACCTATCAAATTGGTGACAATAAAAATTATTACAATTTCTTTGGGCAGGACAATCTGGTAACACGTAACAAAAGTTTTAAAAATGTTTATATACTTTACCCAGCAATTCTACTTCCAGGGATTCATCCTACAGAAATAAGAGTTGTTCATAAACATTTATTGACTAGAATGTTCACTGCAGCATTACTTATGAAAAGGGATACAACCTAATAAACCAAGATGGAATAAATTATATAATAGAACACTTCGTAATCATTAAAAATCTTAATTTGAAATATTTTACAAGAAAAGGTCCTTAAAATACATTAAGTAAAAAGAAAGCAGATTACAAACTCCTAGTATGTAATTTCCCTGCATATATTCTACCTTGTAGGAAAGATAATCATCAAAATGTTAATTTTGGGCCGGGCGCGGTGGCTCACGCCTGTAATCCTAGCTCTCTGGGAGGCCGAGGCGGGCAGATTGTTTAAGCTCAGGAGTTCGAAACTAGCCTGAGCAAGAGAGAGACCCCATCTCTACTAAAAATAGAAAGAAATTAATTGGACAACTAAAAATATATAGAAAAAATTAGCCGGGCATGGTGGCACATGCCTGTAATCCCAGCTACTTGGGAGGCTGAGGCAGGAGGATCGCTTGAGCCCAGGAGTTTGAGGTTGCTGTGAGCTAGGATGACGCCATGGCACTCTAGCCCAGGCAACGCAGTGAGACTCTGTCTCAAAAAAAAAAAAAAGAAAGGTAGAGGCCTGTGAAATTTTTAGAATAACTGATGATGTTGAAAATCCTTAGCTGTCAGCCGAGTGTGAAGGCTCACCCCTGTAATCCCAGCACTCTGGGAGGCGGAGGTGGGAGGATCACTTGAGCTCAGGAGTTTGAGACCAGCCTGAGCAAGAGTGAGACCCCATCTCTACTAAAAATAGTAAAGATTAGCCAGGTGTGGTGGTACACACCTGCAGTCCCAGCTACTCGAGGCAAGAGGATCACTTAAGCCCAGGAGTCTGAGGTTGCTGCAAGCTAGGCCGATGCCACAGTGGCCACAGTGCTCGAGTCTGGGCAACAGAGTGAGACTCAGTCTCAAAAAAAAAAAAAAAGAAAGAAAAAGAAAATCCTTAGCTGTCAAAAAAGGAATGCCCTAAAGGTGTACTTTTTAAAAAACAAGCTTTTATAATGGAAATTTTCAAATATATGCAAAAGTAGACAACAGTATAATGAACCCTCATGTACTCATCACTCAGCTTCATTTATCAACATTTTGTCAAACGTGTTTCATCTAATTTTCCAGGTTTTTTTTTTTTTTTGCGATTTAAAAACAAACACCAGATACCACACTATTTTACCTATAAAAACTAAGTTCAGTATGAAAAGATATACTTTCTTGCTAATAATAGTAAGTATTCAATAAATGTTAGTTGCTAGAGCTAGGTACTATTCTATGTAATATACTTGTACTTAAGTATATAACTTTCACATAAGCTAACCCGCGTTATTATCCCCATTTTATAAATGACCTTCTAATGGCTTACCCAGTCAGTAAGCAGTACTGCCAAGATATGAACCCAAAATTTAAGTCTCTAGACTAGGCTTTACTCTCCCAATCACTAAAGTATGCTGCCTTTTCATTATAGTAGTTATTCTAGTTGTTCCTTAAGGGATTGTTGTGGTAATATTGGTAGAAGGACTGCTGAATGGGAAAGAGATTAGAAAAGATGCTATAATGTGAACAGCCGCTCTTTTCTTGAGAAATTTTCTTTAAATGCCCCAAATAAGAAAGCAAACAGTTAACTTGATATCATCAGTGTCAACTCCCTAGGATACAAAAAAGGGAAATTCACCTCATGGAGGGAAAAGCAATGAGTAGGCCTCTTCCACAGAGCTTGAACACAGATAAATTTCTTTTAAATCTGTCCCTCTAATAAAACCTGGGTGGGTGGTGCGCACAGGGAAGGGTGTCTCTACTTCTACCAGATGTAAGATAGTTCAAGCAAAGAGATCTCATAAGCAGAGGACTGAGAAATCACTAAGAGTAATACTTGACTGCTTAATGAAATCCTGAGTAAAAAATAAAAGGATCTGGAATAAAAAATTCTTCTGACCGACGTTTCAGGGTTCTAAACCTTTCACTCACAGTCTTATAAAACAAACAAGAAAAAACTACTAAATAATTCAGACCCTGTCAAAAGAAAGGAGTCTCCTCTGCAGAAGGATCAAAAATTCTAAAAGCCACCCTAGTGATTTACAGTAGATCTTAGAGTAATTAAACTAATTATCTTCTCTGTGGAACCTACCTAAGGCATCCTCCTCCTCCATTTTGCACTCTTCCCCAACGTAAGTAGAAGGGCTCCTTCCCTGCTCCTATTGCATTTATACGTAATTCTATTAGAGCACTAATCAATATTGTGGTGTAATTATCTTCCCCTTCTCTAGACTATGAATTCCCAGAAGGCAAAAGCCCTATCTCATTCCTCTTTGCGTTTCTAATTCCTAATCTTCAATCCTAGCACAACTGAAAGTACTCAAGAAGTTTGCTGAATGAATAGGGAAAGCTAAAGATGACAGAAAATGGAGTGATCTTTCTAAGAATGAATTTTTTTCATTATAAAACCTTTCTAACCTCTGCATCTTCAGTTCTGCCCATAAGTTTCCCTTTAGGAATTTTCCCATCAGCCACTAATTCAGGCTCAATGATAACATGGACTGTAGTCTCCTGAGGGCTGGAGAAAGAATCTAGCCACTTTGGTTTGCAACAGTTTCTAATGAAGTAGGGAGAATGCAGCTTGAAGGATCTGGAAGGTAGTCAAATGTTTCAAGAGCTTTTATTCAAAAGCCAAAATGCAGGATGGTGTTATAATGCCTGCTTTTTACATTTAAATGTTGACGGCGACAGGAAAAATAAATAATTTCAATTTAAAAAAAACCATGATTAATAAGCAGCACCTGGTCTTCCACTTCTATTATTTTTCAAACAAAAAATCCCCAGCAAAAACGTACAGGTCTGGGTTATAGCCTTCAATCATAGGGAAGGCATTTTTCATGTACTGGTATGAGTGTGCTTAGATCCCTCTATAATATTGGTTAGTCAAACTAAAGATTATCTAGTTAGGCAATCCCTTGAAGTGAAAATCTATAGGTAAGGAAGTTATCTTTTTCACCAATTTAAAGAAATTCAAAATCTCCCAGTTTAAGCTACATTACACTGGAAAGAAAAAGTCCCATCACATGTTTTATATGCCATTCTTTGGTTACCATGTTACCTTGGTTAGAATCCACTGGGTCTTCTATATGAGCAATGACACTCCTGAGATAAATTTGCTTCTGCTGTTCTAGATTTGATTGTGAAAACGTCGGAACATTAGTCCTTAAACAAAGCAAACCAGAAGGAGGAAAAACAGTCCATTAAAACCATGAGTATAGTGCTTTAGAAGTCATACACTGCTGATTGATTAAAACAATTAAGTTTCAGAAGCAAAATTTTCTTTAAGATCCAACAACAGAATATAGTCTTAGTCACATAATATGAAGCTGAAATCAAATATGGAGAGAAAGAAGAAGAGAAGAAATAGATACAACCTCCTGCTAACAAGGAATAGGAAGGTGAAAAAGGATTACCTGGTGTCTAGAGAAAGAAAGCATTGTCCAGTAACTCAGGATTAGTCAGGAAATAGCTAACTTCATAACGCCAAGGTGAAAGGCTGAATGAGATAAAGACCGAATAGAACCAGCTAGATCTGGCAACCGGGGCAATGGTGACCTTGGCAAGAGCAATTTCTGGCCCTTGCTCATATGGATTGACTGTACTAAAGAGTCAGTGGACGAGAATACTGAGATTTTAAATTTATTACTGTTCAAAGTAGGCTGATTTGTGTTCTTTTGATATAATTTCCTTTATAAGCAATTCACAAGTTTTCCCTCAATTATGCACATAAAACAAAAAACCAGAAAATTGGGATTAGGGGTGGCCTTATTTGTAATAATTAAAACTTTTAAGCAAAATAAATATAACATGTAATTAGTGTGTAATCAAAAAATATTTTTAAATCTAGGGCTGGGTGATATGGCTCATGCCTATAATCCCAGTGCTTTGGGAAGCTGAAGCGGGAGGATTGCGTAAGGCCAGGAGTTCAAAACCAGCCTGGGCAACATAGTGAGACGTAATGGGCTGTAATTAGTGGCAGTGTAGTACTAGCTACCTGGGAGGCAGAAGTGGGAGGATTTCTTGCGCCTATGAAGTTACAGTGAACTATGATCACACCACTGAGCGCCAGCCTGGGTGCCAGAGTAAGACTCTAATTT